ATAAAATCTTTAAAAAAATAAAAAATAAAAATAAATTAGGTGGAGTATGTCTCACAGGACTGAGAGAAATACCAAGTAAAGATTGATTTATTTTTTTTTAAATATTTTATTTATTTATTTGACAGACAAAGCGAGAGAGGGAACACAAGCAGGGGGAGTGGGAGAGGGAGAAGCAGGCTTCCTCCAGAGCAGGGAGCCCGACGCAGGGCTTGATCCCAGGAGCCTGGGATCATGACCTGAGCTGAGGGCAGGCGCTTAACGACTGAGCCACCCAGGCTCCCCTAAAGATTGATTTAAATTGATGGAAACAAAGATGTTAATGATGGTTATATAGTGCTTGCTTCTTTGTGTTGGACATTGTGCCACATATTTTATAAACGTATCACTTAAGTCTCACAACTATCCTGTGTGGTAGGGTTTTTTTTTTTTTTTTTAAATCCCCAGTTTCCAGATGGGGAAGCAATGTCAGTGAAATTTGTCCTTTGTCCAGGGGTGTATTGTGAGTTAATAACGAAGCTGTCTTTTGATTCTAAATGTCTGACCTCAGACTCAGTGTTCTTGACTTTCCCCATTTTTGAGTGGGGGAAGGTATGTGCAGTGTAACCCAGAGCAGTGGTTCTCACATGGAATCACTCGGAAGCTTAAAAAAACCCTTCAGGTCAGCAGAAGGGTCTAAGAAATGCATATGTTTAATTTTTAAAATTTCATTGAGGCATAGTTAACATACAGCAAAATATACAGTTTTGACAAATGTATACAGGCATGTAATAAGAGAACATGTATTTTAATCAAGGGTCCCAGATGTACAGCAGATGTGTAGGAGGTGTGGGAACCTGGGATGACAGTGCCCTATGGGTGGGGATAGGAGCTGGATCTTTGAAGGTGACTCTCAAGCATGGTGTAACACACCAGGGAAGTCCTTGGGACATGCTTCTTTTGGACTCATACCAGTCATGGAGTATCCTTAAACCGCCATTGATCTAGAAAATAAAGCTTTTGTTTATAGCTTGACAATACTAGCCTGGCAAATGGATTGCTTTTCCTTGGCTTTTGGGGAGCATCAGTATTGGCAGGATAGAATTGGTGCTGGGGCCCTGGGAGACTGTCCTTTATTATGTGCAGTGTTTCATCTTCAGCTGGGGAATTAGGGAAGGCTGCCTGTTAGGAGCTCAGGAAAAAAGATTTCTGTTGCTTTGTAGCCTACTTTTGAGAGAATGGGAGAGGATGCTTTTTAACCTCTTTATCAACTTTAAATCTAAATGAAATCAAAGTAAATATGGCCCTTCGTTTTGGTCGTATAACAAATGTGAAGCATTAAGCAGGGCCTAAAAATAGTCCAACTATGTAGCTGTGTAAAATGGTACAGTATGTTATTTTAGGGGCTATATATGTGAATCATGCATTTAGGTAATATGATTGTTCACTGTTGGCATCCCTGCCCTCTTTTTATCTAGGGGGTACCCTAAGCAAGAATTGATGTATGCTATTAAAAATCTTTTGCTTAAACACACGTTAAAAGGAGAGAAAAGGAATACAATAGACTTGTAGGCTGTTAAGAGAGGACCTTTATCAGGCAGAAAAGAATAGTTATTTTGAATGGTCATTTAAAAGACCAGTGATGTGCATTGGGCTTAAATTTATAACCTAGTGAGCATTTTTCAAGTTCATATCTTTGGGGTATCTTTAACTTCAGGCACTGTTCTTTCTCAGTTTATTGTGTTGTTTCTCAGTTTATGTCAGCAAGATTGACTAGCATGTGAAAACCCCTTTTCTAAATAATGGCTTAAAGTTTGCTTTCTAAAAGTGGGAGCCATCTTTAGTTTTTAGTAGTTTACTAGGTTTCATGTGTTTATATTTCCTGGATATAGAATTTATTATTGAGTCTGCTGGTTTGATAATATATGATATTTTATAGGAATTAGGGAAGGCTGCCTGTTAGGCAGCCTTTAACTTAGTCCCCAAGTTAAAACTATTAAAGTACCTCTTTTAAGGTGAGGCCAAGGATTGCTGCGTAGACCAGCCTAGAGGTTTGGTTTGCAATTCTTAACCAGATGTGGTCTGGTAAAGACATAGTTCGTAATGTTGGAAAATTGAGCACACTTTTTTTTTTTTTTTAAAGATT